AGAGGAAATAAATTTTTTTCAAATAATTACAGATTGTGGAAAATGCTGTGACAATGATTAAAACAGTGCTATCATAAAGGACAGACAGTGTAAGTGCTACTTGAGTTAGAGCTTTTAGTTAAAGATAAAATTTACGTGGACATTTTAAGGATGAAGAGGAGGCAGTCATGTAAATATTTAAAGGAGAGTACTCCACCCAAAGGAAACTGCAAAGCACATAGGTTCCAGGAGGGGGAAAAAAAAAATCTCATGTCATAGAAAATGACCAAGCCTAACGTGGCTAGAGAACAAGGACAAAAGTGATACAAAACAGAGATTGGAAGAGACACAGGCCAATTTTATTCTACATGTAATAAGAAGTAGTAAGAAGTAGGTTGGGCACGGGAGCTCAAGCCTGTAATCCCAGGACTTTGGGAGGCCAAGGTGGACGAACCACTTGATGCCAGGAGTTCAAGACCAGCCTTGGCCAACATGGTGAAAACCAGTATCCACCAAAAAACACAAAAAATTAGCTGGGCGTGGTGGTGTATGCCTGTAATCCCAGCTACTTGGGAGGTTGAGGCACAAGAATTGTTTGAACCTGGGAGGCAGAGGTTGCAATGAGCTGAGATCACACCACTGCACTACAGCCTGGGAATGAAACTCTGTCTCAAAAAAAAGTCATGTAATAAGAAGAGTTTTAAGCAAGGGAGTTATAAACCAATACATGCTGTGACAGAGACTGTTAGTACTCACTAATGACTGCGTTCTCTTCATTAAAACACCGCTCTACTACATTTCTCAGCCACTCCTGCAGTTAGGTAGGATCACATGACTCAGTCCTGACCAATGAAACTAAGTGGGTAAAAGTGATATAAGCTACTTCTAGCCTGGACCCTTTCTCCACACACATTTCCCCTTTCAAAACAATTTGAGAAACCAAAGCTGATTAAGGTGGTGACGTAAGATACAGGAGCCTGTCCTCCAAGTGATTGCATAAAGCAAAATTGACCCTCAACACACACACACACACACACACACACACCCACACACACCGGGGAAGAGAGAGAGAGAGAGAGAGAGAGAGAGAGAGAGAGAGAGAACTGTCATGCAAGAAAATAATGTAAACTTCCACTGTATTACGCTGCCAAGTAAGATTTGTTACATCATTAATGCAGAAATCTTAAAAACATTTCTCTCGCTGCTGTGTGAAGAATGAGTTAAATGGACAGACAAAGTAAAAATAAAAAGACCAGTTCAGACTCAACAAAAACATAACTCAAATGAAAAATAGACAAAGAACTTACATTTCTCGAAATATATACAAATAGCCAACAAACATATGAAAAGATGCTCATCACTAGCCATTAAGAAAATGCAAATCAAAATCACAGATATATCACCATTAAGATAGCTACTATTTAAATTAAAAAAAAAAAAAAAAAAAAAAAAAACAGAAAACAAGGGTTAGTGAAAATGTGGTGAAACTGGAACCTTTTACACTGTTGGTGGTAATGTAAAATGGTACAGCTGCTATGGAAAACAGTATGGTGGTTCCCCCCAAAATAAAAGGTAGATTACCATACAATCCAGCAATTCAACTTCCGGGTATACATCAAAAAAACTGAAAGCATGAACCTGAACAGATATTTCTATACCATGTTCATAGCAACATTATTCTTAACAGCTAAAATGTGGAAGCAACACAAGCTGCTCATCAACAAATGAATGGATAAACAAAATGCGGTATATATAAACTCCATACCCTGGTGTCACTTCCCATTTCCCTCTAACGTCCCCTACTCCCAGTCCTATGCAACCACTCTATCCCTACAAATACACATTCTTCTGGACACTTCATACAAATGGAATCATACAATGTGGTCTTTAGTATACTTAGCATTGTTTGTTTGTTTGTTTTTGACATAGAGTCTTGTTCTATCACCCAGGCTAGAGTGCAGTGCTGCTATTTCGGCTTACTGCAACCTCCACTTCCCAGTTTCAAACTATTCTCCTGCATCAGCCTCCTGTGTAGCTGGGATTATAGGTGCCCACCACCACGTCCAACTAATTTTTGTATTTTTAGTAGAGTCCATGTTGGCCAGGCTGCTCTCGAACTCCTAAACTCAAGTTATCTGCCCACCTTGGCCTCCCGAAGTGCTGGGATTACAGGTGTGAGCCACCATGTCCAGCCTACCTAGTATGTTTTACTGGTTTATCTATGTTATAGCATGTATCATACAATACTACGGTCGTTTGTGACTGGTTTCTTTCACAACATAATGCTTTCAAGGTTCACCATGCTATATAATATGTATCAGTTCTGTATTCCTTTTTATTGTCAAATAGTATGCAATTGTGTGAATACACAGTGTATGTAACCATTTATGAGCTGATGGACATCTGAGTTGCTTCGACTTTTCAGCTATTATGATTGAGCTGCTTCTTAAACAGATTTTCAAGAAATCCTATTTTTAGCAACACTCTCACCTCCTCCCTGCCAAAAATTGCCTGATGCTGCCAATTCCTGAACCTGAGGACTATTTTCTACTTTTGCTCCTGCCAGTTAGGATTGAACATTTTTAAGCCCACTAAGAATTTTATCATCAGTTCACTTGCTTTCCAGCTTCCAAATTTTATTGCTGCTGTCTCTTCTTCCATTCTCTTGCGTAGTTCAAATCTTCTAAAAGTATCCGTTACTGTCACCTTGCTGGGCTGTCAAAGGGGGTAAAAGTAAATGTATCTTTCACTCAGCCATCTTTACTTAGAAGTCCTTTCAATTATTTTTAGCCTTCATTCTTTCTGATGTATAGATTTGAAGGCTATGTACTACTCTTCCTCTAAGCATGGCTCTATACGTATCCCTTAAGTTATACCTTGTTTTCATAGTTTAGTTCAAAATAGTTTAATGTTATTTCTTCTCTAATCCCCGAGTTACTCAGGAATATAACTTATTTTCAAATAGCTGAGAATTTTTTAGTTTTTTTGGTAATGCATTTCTGGCTAAATTCCGATATGTCAGAAAACACTCTAGAATTGATTATTTTCAACTTTTTTATTGTCCAGCATGTGTCAATTTGGGAAAAACTTCCATAGGCACTTGAAAAAAAATCTGCATTCTGTAGGTATTAGGTGAAATGTTCAATGCATGTCAATTAGAATCATTTGTTAATTACAGTGTTTAAATCTTTTATATATTTTGTCTCATTATTCTAATTACTCGAGAGGCATGTTGAAATATTCCATATTATGCTTAGAGATTTGTCTAATTCTCCTTTTAGTTCTGTCCATTTTTTGCCTACCATGCTGGCAAAGATTAGAAAAGAATGATAACACAGAGTTAAGAAACACAGTAGTAAAGGTGTCTTTAAACATCTGTATCTTTGAAACCAGTTATTTTACACTGAGAAACTGATCTTAGGCAGGAAGGGAGATCCAGACAAGCTCTTCATGGGCACTTTGAAGTTACATTGATTCATAAATTCTCGTTGAAGCCTTACAGCTATCCTTTGATTACGTATTATTCCCATACTAGAGATGAGAAAAAAAATGACGTTTTTTAGCGAACTAAAAGACTATATGTATATTCTTTGTAGGAATAAAAGTAGAAACAGCTTTATTAAAGAAAATCAAGAATTTTATAACAGAGACAAAGTAGGCAAAGTTTTTTGGTTAAAAAAAAAAAAAAAAAGGCCGGGTGCGGTGGCTCAAGCCTGTAATCCCAGCACTTTGGGAGGCCGAGGCGGGTGGATCACGAGGTCGAGAGATCAAGACCATCCTGGTCAACATGGTGAAACCCCGTCTCTACTAAAAATACAAAAAATTAGCTGGGCATGGTGGCACGTGCCTGTAATCCCAGCTACTCAGGAGGCTGAGGCAGGAGAATTGCCTGAACCCAGGAGGCGGAGGTTGCAGTGAGCCGAGATCGCGCCATTGCACTCCAGCCTGGGTAACGAGCGAAACTCTGTCTCAAAAAAAAAAAAAAAGAAACCGTAAGATTTATACATACACTGACATGGAAGGATATTCATAAAAGCCAAGTTAGGAAACAAAGTACAGCATGTGATCTCATTTTTTTTTTAAGTGTGCATAAGTTTATGGGTTCATAGAAACTGGCCAGGCACAGTGGCTCACACCTCTAAATAGCAGCACTTTGGGAGGCCAAGGCAGGCAGATCACTTGAGCCCAGAAGTTGAAGTCCAGCTTGGGCAACATGGCGAAAACCCACCTCTACAAAAATTACAAAACTTGGCCAGTCATGGCAGCACCTGACTGTAGTCCCAGATACTTGGGAGACTAAAGTGGGAGGATCGCTTGAGCCCAGGAGGCGGCAGCTGCAATGAGCCAAGATCATGCTACTGCCCTCCAACTCGGTGACAGGGCCAAATCCTGTCAAAAAAAAAAAAAAAGCCCAAGTCTAAGATATACATATTAAAAAATTACAATGATAAATGACAAAGACATCATTTAGAATAAAGAAAAACATAATTATACAAGAAGCTTTGTATAATTACTAGAAATTAGATTGCTCATACAATTAAAATTAAACATACCCGAGCTTTCTGGAAGCCAGGACTTAAAGAGAAACACCATTTTACTCTATTTCCTGGACAATGTAATTCAGTATAATACATGACCCACATTAATTCTCCCTCTCATTACTGACATCAAGGGAAAATATACAAACACAGACAACACACACATGTACATATAAATATATATGTATATTACCACCTCAAACAGCTTCTTACCTAAAGCCAATTTATTCCCTCAGCTATGATTTGTTAACTATGAACAATGGAGAAAAGGACAGGTGTAGGCCCAAAAGAACAGGCCCAAATCACCTCAAATGAGCCATCTTTTTTTTCAAATCAGCCTTCTTTAAAGTATATGAGCCTCCTATGCTCTGCACTTAGATGACAAGAACAATGCATGCATATACGCATTATGTGTTATATGATTTCTTCCTTCAACATTTTGTTTTTCCTACTCTTTAAGATTTTACATTAAAGAAGTATCTCATGCTTAGTTCAGCAGCAAATGTACTAACACTGGAACAATACAGAGAAGATTAGCATGGCCCCTGCGGAAGGATGACACACAAATTTGTGAAGCGTTCCATATTTTTAAATTTGAAAATATATATATATATATCTCATTCGTTGGAGGGCAGAGTATATCCTAGCAATTTTTACTTGTAACTTCCATGATATGCCTTAGACTAAATCAGACAGCTTCAGGAAGTTTCAGGGTTATAACCTGAAGCTTTTTTATAGAAATAAAAGTAGTTGCCAGGCACGGTGGCTCACGCCTGTAATCCCAGCACTTTGGGAGGCCGAGGCAGGTGGATCACGAGGTCAATAGATTGAGACTATCCTGTTCAAAATGGTGAAACCCCGTCTCTACTAAAAATACAAAAAATTAGCTGGGCATGGTGACACATGTCTGTAATCCCAGCTACTTGGCAGGCTGAGGCAGAATTGCCTGAACCCAGGAGGCGGAGTTTGCGGTGAGCCGAGATCGTGCCATTGCACTCCAGCTTGGGTAACAAGAGCGAAACTCTGTCTCAAAAAAATAAATAAATAAATAAATAAAAGTAGTAGTAGTAGTCTAAAAACAGCTTTATTAAAGGAAATCAGGAACTTTATAACAAGAACAGAGTGGGTAAACTTATTCCATTAAAAAAAAAAAAAAAGTAAATATTTTAGTCTCTGTGGGCTTGAGTCTTTGTCACACATCCACTTTTTTCCAGCCCTTTAAAAATTAAAAACCATTCTTAGGGCAGTAAAAATAGGGTTTTAGAGAGGCGATAATTAAAACAGTGGATTTAATACATAAATTATTTTTAGGAAACTAACCCACAAGAGCAAAATATACAGAAAAGCAAACAGTACCAACAAAATTTCAGAAGCTAAAATATGGACAACTGGTAACTAATTCACTTAGTAAATTTTAGAAAGGTGAAGCCTAAACCCTGAGTTGAAAACCCCAATATACATCTTGGAATCCTTAAAGTATACAGGAACTGGCAGCACCGAGTACTGCCTGAACTGGATAGAAGAGGAAATTAAATAAGACTGAGTGAAAGCTGTCTGAGAAGCAGATACATCCTTTGAAGCTATCCAAATCTACCTGATGGTTGGCTATCCACTCTCAGTAACAGAATCCTGCTGGTTTATTCTTTAGAAAGGGGTTTTTGTGGGTTTTGTTTTGTTTTTTTGAGACAGGGTCTCGCTCTGTCACCCAGGCTGCAGTGCAATGGCATAATCTCCATCATGACACTGCAATCTCCGCCTCCTGGGCTCAAGTAATCCTCCCACCTCAGCCTCTCAAGTATCTGGGACTATAGGCATGCCACCACACCCAGCTAAATTTTGTATTTTTTGTAGAGATGTGGTTTCACCATGTTGCCCAGGCTAGTCTCAAGCTCCTGGGCTCAGACAATTTGCCCGCCTCAGCCTCCCAAAGTGCTAGGATTAACAGGTGTGAGCCAGCTTTGTTTTTGCTTTTTCAGAGTCCCTGAACTAGGAGTCACCAGGTATAATTAAAGGTCTATGTATTCTACCAAAAATGGGGGAATCAGAGTCCACTCCCTCACACCAAAACAAAACAAAAAGCTAGTGGCCGGTCAGGCGCGGTGGCTCAAGCCTGTAATCCCAGCACTTTGGGAGGCCGAGGCGGGTGGATCACAAGGTCGAGAGATCGAGACCAACCTGGTCAACACGGTGAAACCCCGTCTCTACTAAAATTACAAAAAATTAGCTGGGCATGGTGGCGCGTGCCTATAATCCCAGCTACTCAGGAGGCTGAGGCAGGAGAACTGCCTGAACCCAGGAGGCGGAGGTTGCGGTGAGCCGAGATCGCGCCATTGCACTCCAGCCTGGGTAACAAGAGCGAAACTCCGTCTCAAAAAAAAAAAAAAAAAAAAGCTAGTGGCCATCCTTCAACCCTCAGGCAAACCGAGTTTTCCCTGATGAACCTGACCCAAAAGGAAACATCTAAACATCAGAGTTTTCTCAAAATAAAAAAGGCTCACTTGGACCATAATGCAATGAAATTCAAAGTCTGCAAATCCCAATCAATTAAAGGTTTTTAGCTATCAATCAGCCAAGTATTACTGATACCTGAAGTAAGACTCCAACATAAAAGAGACAAAACAAATGGAGAAAAATCAACTTAGAAAAAGCAGTCTGCAGCCAGGCACAGTGGTTCACACCAGTAATCCCAACACTTTGGGAGGCCAAGGTAGGCGGATCACCTGAGGTCAGGACTTCAAGACCAGCCTGCTCACCCAACAAAGTGAAACTCCATCTCTACTAAAAATACAAAAATTAGCCTGGTGTGGTGACGTGCACCTGGAATCCTACATATTCAAGAGGCTGAGGCAGGAGAATCACTTGAACCTGGGAGGCAAAAGATGCAGTGAACTGAGATCGCACCACTGTACTCCAGCCTAGGTAACAGAGCAAGACTCCATCTCAAAAAAAAAAAAAAGAAGAAGAAGAAGAAAAAAAAATACCTGCAAAATGAATGTTAACAGCTTTATTCACAATAGCCAAAAACTGAAAACCAAATGTCTGATTTTTTTAAATTACATTATATTCATCCAGTGGAAAACTACCATCATTGAAAAAGAACTACTGCTGCACCATACAGCATAAATGAACCTCACAAACACAATGTTAAGCAAAAGCAGCCATCCCAAGAAAGTATATATACTATATGGTTACTGTATTAGTCCATTTTCATCATGCTGATAAAGACTTAACAATTTATAAAAGAAAGAGATTTAATGGACAGTTCCACGTGGCTGGAGGGGCCTCACAATCATGGTACAAAGTGAAAGGCATGTCTAACACGGCATCAGAAAAGAGAAGAGAGCTTGTGTAGAGAAACTCCCACTTTTAAAATCATCGTCTTATCTCATGAGACTTATTCACTATCACAAGGAAAGCACAGGAAAGGCCCACCCCCATGACTGAATTACCTCCCACCAGGTTCCTCTCACCACACCTAGGAATAGTGGGAGTTACAATTCAAGATGAGATTTGGGTGGGGACACAGCCAACCCATATCATTCTACCCCTGCCCCGCCGCCACCATATCCCAAGTCTTCACATTTCAAAACCAATCATGTCTTCCTAACAGTCCCCCAAAGTTTTAACTCATTTCAGCATTAACTCAAATGTTCACAGTCCAAAGTCTCATCCGAAACACGGCAATTCCCTTCTACCTATGAGCCTGTAAAATCAAAAGGAAATTCATTACTTCCTAGATACAATGGGAGTACAGGGATTAGATAAATACTGCCATTCCAAATGGGAGAAATTGGCCAAAACAAAGGGGATAAAGGCCCCATGCAAGTCCAAAATCTAGCAGGGCAGTCAAATCTTAAAACTCCAAAATAATCTACTTTGATGCCATGTCTCACATCCAGGACACGCTGATCCAAGAGGTAGGTTTCCACAGTCTTGGGCAGCTCTGACCCTGTGACTTTGCAGGGTACAGCCTCTCACCCAGCTGCTTTCACAGGCTGGCGTTGAGTGTCTGTGACTTTTCCAGGTGCACTGTGCAAGCTATAGGTGGATCTATCATTCTGGGATGGTGGCCCTCTTCTCACAGCTCCACTAGGCAGTGCCCCAGTAGGGAATTTGTGTGGGGGCTCTGACCCCACATTTCCCTTCCATACTGCCCTAGTAGAGGTTATCCATGAGTGCCTCACACCTGCAGCAAACCTCTGCCCGGGCATCCAGGCATTTCCATACATCTTCGGAAATGTAGGTGGAGGTTCCCAAACCCCAGTTCTTGACTTCTGTGCACTCACAGGCTCATCATCACATGAAAGCCACCAAGACTTGGGGCTTGCACCCTCTGAAGCCACGGCTTGAGCTCTGCACTGGCCCCTTTAGGCCACAGCTGGAGCAGCTGGGATGTAGGGCACCAAATCCCTAGACTGCACACAGGACAGGACCACTTTATCCTCCTAGGCCTCCAGCCTGCCAAGGGAGGGGCTGCCATGAAGACCTCTGACATGCCCTGCAGACATTTTCTCCATTGTCTTGGGGATTAACATTCAGCTCCTCATTACTTATGCAAATTTCTATAGCCAGCTTGAATTTCTCCTCAGAAAATTGGATTTTCTTTTCTATCGTGCTATCGAGCTGCAAATTTTCTGAACTTTTATGCTCTGCCTCCCTTATAAAATTGAATGCCTTTAACAGCACCCAAGTCACCTCTTGAATGCTTTTTTGCTGCTTAGAAATTTCTTCCATCAGATACCCTAAATCATCTCTCTCAAGTTCAAAGTTCCACAAACCTCTAAGGACAGGGGCAAAATGTTGCCAGTCTCTTTGCTAAAACATAGTAAGAGTTCCCAACAAGTTCCCCATCTCCATCTGAGACCACCTCAGCCAGGACATTATTGTCCATATTGCAATCAGCATTTTGGGCAAAGCCATTTGACAAATCTAGAAAGTTCCAAACTTTCCCACATTTTCCTGTCCTCTTCTGAGCCCTTCAAACTGTTCCAACCTCTTGCCTGTTAGCCAGTTCCAAAGTTGCTTCCACATTTTCGGATATCTTTTCAGCAGCTCCCTACTCTACTGGTACCAATTTACCGTATTAGTCCATTTTCATGCTGCTGATAAAGACATACCTGAGACTGGGCAATTTACAAAATAAAGTGGTATAATGGACTTACAGTTTCACGTGTCTGGGAAGGCCTCACAATCATGGCACAAAGTGAAAGGCATGTCTTCTCACATGGCAGCAGACAAGAGAAGAGAGCTTGTGCAGAGAAACTCCCATTTTTAAAACCCCATGAGACTTATTCGTCACCACAAGAACAGCATGGGAAAGGCTCGCCCCGTGGTTCAATTACCACCCACCAGGTTTAATTACCTCCCACCAGGTTCCTCCAACCACATTTGGGAATTGTGGGAGTTACAATTCAAGATGAGATTTGTGTGGGGACACAGTCAAACCATATCAGTTACATTTATATGAAGTTCAAAAACAGGCAAAAATAATTTATGGTTAATAGAGGATGGAATAGTGATTACCTTTGGAGATACTGACTGGAGGGGGCAAAAGAGAGCCTTTTTGAACACTAAAAATGTTCAACATCTA